ATCCACCTACCTTGGCCTCCCAAAGTGCTGGGATTGTAGGCGTGAGCCACTGTGCCCAGCCTTAACTTGGCCTATTTTAGTCATGACTTTTGTACTCACTTCCAAATGTGACCTGGTATAGTCAAGGTCACTTCTCAATTATCTGGGAGAGGATTTCCTAATTTGAGGGTCACTCAAGCTTTCATTGAAAGAGTCATAGACTCAGAATGAGAAAGCCAAGCAACGAGTTGTCCTTATAGCCAGCTTTAACAAAACATGAGTGGTTTGAGAATCTTGGCTCTGGATAAAAATGACGTTATTATTTAAAGAGAAGTACTGATAACTTCTTGTCGACTTCTCTGTTCCAACTTTTATTAATTTATAGATTTCAAAGACCATGATTCTTAGGGAATATAAAAATGCGGAAATCTGTATGCAGAGGCTCATTCCAGCACTTTGGGAGGCCAAGGCAGGAGTATCGCTTGAGACCAGTCGTTCAAGACCAGCCTGGGCAACACAGTCAGACCCCCATCTCTACAAAAATTGAATACATTTTTAAAAAGTGAACATGAAGGCCGAACACAGTGGCTGATGCCTATAATCCCAGCACTTTGGGAAGTCAAGGTGGGAGGACTGCTTGAGCCCAGGAGTTTGAGTCTAGCTTGGGCAACAAAGTGAGACTTCATCTCTGCAAAAAAATAAAAAAATAAGCCAGACATGGTGTTGTGCACCTGCAGTCCCTGCTATACAGGAGGCTGAGGCAGGATTGTATAAGTCCAGGAAGGGCTGCAGTGATTGTACCACTGCAACTCCAGCCTGCCGGAGTGAGACTCCATCTCAGAAAACAAACAAACAAAAAAACAGTGGAAATGCTTACACCGAAAAGCTACTTTTAAAAGTTACACAGTAGAAATCAACTATCATTCAGATCTGACATCCCTTCCCCAACCTATACTTCTCATCTTTAGGCTAACCCTTAAGCAATTCTGCAGTGAAGACAAATAATCTTAGAAAAAGGGTAGGTGATGTGCATGAGTGGAAGACTTTCAACTAATGGTATTAGGAAAATGCTACAACTCTAGCAGGGAATAAGATCTAGAACGTTCAGAAAGCAAAATGATTGCTATAGAATTATTCCAATTACTTTAATGCCATATAAGATGCTGTTATTTTGAGATGACTGTTCATAGAGCCAACAGAAGTAGCCCTGCAAAGCTGCCTTTTGTGGGGGAAACTTGCATTTGCAGACAATCTGCTTGATGCAGCCAGGCCTTTCCTTGTCTGGATCTCGGTGAAACCTGCCAGGCGCGGTGACTCACGCCTGTAATCCCAGTACTTTGGGAGGCCGAGTTCGGCAGATCACCTGATTGACCAGCCTGGGCAACATGGTGAAACCCCATCCCTACTAAAAATACAAAAATCAGCCGGGCAGGGTGCCTGGCGCCTGTAATCCTACCTACTTGGGAGGCTGAGGCAGGAGAACTGCTTGAGCCGAGACCATGGAATTGTAATCCAGCCTGGGCAATGAGTGAAACTGTCTCAAAAACATTTACCATCTATTCTTTTGAGGGCTGCCACCTGTGGGGCTTCATTTACATAACAAGACCACTTTTGCTAGTCAGGCTTCCTCTTCTCTTGCTCCTAGAACCTGTTTTGCTGTGATCCGAGCCCAAACTTTCTGTAACCTTAAGGTGGTATTTAAGCTTCTAAAGCCTATTGGGTAGGGGCTTGGGGGGTAATCACTCTGTGGGTCTCCCCCACATGCAAGTTAATATTTGTATGCCTTTTCTCCATTGGTTTTTCAATGAACCTTCAGAGGGCAAAGGATAATTTTCCCCTTGGCCTCTATAGGAACCTAAGACCCATAGAATGATGGAAAAAAGAAAGGCTTTGGAGCCAAGCAGGCCCAAGTTTGAATCCCAGATGTACTGCTTATTCACTGTACAACCTTGGTCAAGTCAGTTATCTGACTTACAAACAGGGTAACCATTAACTTCACAAAGTTGTTTCAAGGATTAATGTAGAAAATCAGCTTATCGGGCATTGAAAAAATGGTGGCTATCAGTATCAATGATCACTTCCCAATCCAGTTACGGACCCAATTTTAAGACTGCTGCTAAATCCCACGGAATGAGTTCTGCAGGAGCAAGCAGTCTTGGCCTCAAGTCCATATATTTGTACCTCATAATCCCTATTTTGTCTTGCCATTTGAACACATTTTCAGCATGTCTAGTGATTCATCTTCAAATAAGTCTTCTTTAGGTGGATCTCGGCCTGCATATGCTGTGGTATCTTTTCTCTTCACACTGATTTTGGTCTTATCTTCCCAGTTTTAAAGTACTAACTTTATACACAGCACTGCCCTCTAGCGACTAGGATAATTCTTTCTAGCTGTCTGTTAAGCAGCTCTCTTGGTAAAAATTAAAATAAAAAATTCTGTCGTAGATTGTCTTGAATGTGCTGGCTGACAATAGAGAAATGAAAATCATAACTACGAGATACCACCTCACACCCAATAGTAATCTGAAAAACAATCTGACAATTCTTTAAAGTTACATGACCCAGCAATTCCACTCCTACAGAGAATTGAAAACGTGCACACCTTTTTTTTTTTAGATGGAATCTTGCTCTTTCGCCAGGCTGGAGTGCAATGGCACAATCTTGGCTCACTGCAACCTCCCGTCTCCCGGATTCAGGGGATTCCCCTGCCTCAGCCTCCTGAGTAGCTGGGACTACCGGTGTGTGCCACCACACCCAGCTAATTTTTTGCATTTTAGTAGAGACGGTGTTTCACCATGGCCAGGATGGTCTCGATCTCCTGACCTCATTATACACCCGCCGTGGCCTCCAAAAGTGCTGGGATTACAGGCGTGAGCCACCACGCCTGGCCCCAAAACCTCTTCTATAATGTTCATAGCATTATTCTTAACCAAAAAGCAGAAATAATACAAATATCAATTGATGGATGGGTAAATACAATGGATTATTCAGCCATAAAATAGAATGAGGTACTCATACATGCTGTAACATGAACCCTGAAAACACGCTGTATCAAAGAAGCCAGTTCCAAAGGACCACATATTGTATGAACTTATATGAAATGTCCAGAACAGGGAAATCCATAAAGAGAATGGAGCCTGGTGATTCCCTAGGACTGGAGGAGAGAAATGGATTGACTGCTAATGGGGGTTTCTTTTGGGGATGAGAAGAGTTACATGAAAAATTGCTTTGGTGATGGCTGTACAACTTTGTGGATATACTGAAAACTGATCTGTACACTATAAAAAGGTGAATTTCATGGTATGTGAATTATGTCTCAATGTTATTTAAAAATGGAAAACAAAAGTGTTGGCTGTGTTGGGATGGCCATTTAGTACTAACATGTTAGGCACGTTTCCCCTTCAAAAACCCACCCGAAAAGTCTTAAGAATTTGGCATCCATGGTCTTAATATATATATTTTTTAAATAAGCATGTATTATTTATATAATGAGAGGTAGATCCACGTTTTCAAGGAATAATCTTTTTTTTTTTTTGAGACAGAGTTTCGCTCTTGTTACCCAGGCTGGAGTGCAATGGCGCGATCTCGGCTCACCGCAACCTCCACCTCCTGGGTTCAGGCAATTCTCCTGCCTCAGCCTCCTGAGTAGCTGGGACTACAGGCACGCGCCACGATGCCCAGCTAATTTTTTGTATTTTTAGTAGAGACGGGGTTTCACCATGTTGACCAGGATGGTCTCGATCTCTTGACCTTGTGATCCACCCGCCTCGGCCTCCCAAAGTGCTGGGATTACAGGCTTGAGCCACCGCGCCCGGCCCGTTCAAGGAATAATCTTAACTTTTAAAACAGAAACTGCACTTAAGAACACTAGTAGAGGTTGGTTGACACCCTGAAAGACGTTTTTAACTGTGGGCCAGTCAGCTTCAAACTCAGGAAAACCTCTCACCTCCATTGCAGGGGAAATGGGCAACAGTAATAGTAGCTGCTGCTGACAGGCTGGGCCCTGTGCTTAACTCCATCTATTATCTCCCCCAATTATCCCACGTGGCAGGTGTTACCATAGATCAGGCAGTGCATATAACTGAGACCAAGGGCGCACATACGCCCCTTCCCTGAAACGCAAGTCTCACAGAAGGCAGAGCAAGATGCCACCTTGGTGTAAATAACAAATTACAATAAACTCTGACTCAGTAACTACTGAAGAGCAGGGTCTAAGGATATTCACTGATAAAAGGTAGGTGTTCAAAGATGATCCAACTTCTATTTTTGTCTTTAGTAATCGATACACAGTTGAAATTCAGTGAGAAGCTGCTTCTACACAGATATAGGAAGGGTTTTGTTATCCAAATGCAAATCTATCTAGGTCTGAATTCCTAAAAGTAGAATCTTTTTCTTTTGAGATGGAGTTTTGCTCTGTCATCCAGACTGAAGTGCAGTGGCATGATTTCAGCTCACTGCAACCTCCCAGGTTAAAACAATTTTCCTGCTTCAGCCTCCCAAGTAGCTGGGTGCCTGCCACCACGCCCAGCTAATTTTTGTATTTTTAGTGGAAATGGGGTTTCACATGTTGACCAGGCTAGTCTTGAGCTTCTGACCTCAAGTGATTCGCCTACCACGGCCTCCCAAAGTGCTGGGATTATAAGTGTACGCCACCACACCTGACTTAAAAGTAGAGTCTTTAGGTAAGTAACCTTCCCAATACTTTTTTTTTTTGAGACAGGGTCTTGCTCTGTCACCCAGGCTGCAGTGCAGAGGTGCGATCTCAGCTTCTCATTGTAACCTCCAGCTCTTGGGCCCAAGCAATTCTCCCACCTCAGTCTCCCGAGCAGCTGGGACTACAGGCCCAAGCCACCAAGCACTGCTAATTTTTACATTTTCTTTTTGTAGAGATGAGGTCTCACCATGTTGGCCAGGCTGGTCTTGGACTGCTGACCTCAAGTGATCCATCTGCCTCAGCCTCCCAAAGTGCTAGGATTACAGTTAGGAGTCACCGTGCATAGCCTATTTCTTGAATTTCAAAAAAAAAAAAAAAAAAAAAAAACAGGGAGAGAATTCCTGCATACACTCTTGCATAAGGCCAAACTAGAAAGTGGGCATTTGAACAGCCCTCTATCTGTTCCCTTCCCCTAACTAGAATGGGCTTCTGGGCCTATCAACCATTCTTTGGTGAAGAGCAGCAATCCATTTCCCCAAAGGCTCTATAATAACAGCATTGGTGTTTGAGGTTGCATCTGTAAACACGTATTTCAGGATTTAGAAGCTTCTGGAACCATAACTTTAACCCAGCCTTCCATAACAGTCTTTTTACTTTCTACTACTGAACATGACACTGCAATAACAGCAATGAACCGCTTTAGCTTTTTCACTTCTGCAGAAGCTAAAACAACTTCTCCAATATATAAAGGGGCTGGAAAGCTAATTTCCTGGGAAAGAAATACACAGCCTGGCCCTGGCATTTTAGTTCCCAGGAGAGCTGAGATAAGTCCATTGATCAAAACTCCATGTACAATTGTATTTCCAAACTTGGTGTGTTTTGCAAAGTCTTCATTTAGATGCAAAGGATTGACATCCCCTGTTAACTCTGAGAAGGTAGCCACATCCGTCTGTGTGAAGGCCCTCCTAAGTTCAGCACGGTCTCCAACTCTGATGTGCATACGCTGAAAGTGCTGCAGGGTCAGCACCGGGAGGTTCAGGCAGACTCTCCTCCAGAGCCCACCCCACCAAAGGTGATGGCTGGAAATTAGTGGGAACATCTTCAGCACCCTCAAATTTCATCAAGAGCTTTTAGCCTGCTTCAGTCTTCAAACATGCAGGCACCAAAAAATAAATCTGAGAGTAGAGGAATGTTTCCAAAATAGAAGACTACTCCTTCAATCCAATACTAGTTCCCTACTATTACCAGATAACGCCAGGAGGAATGGAGAAACCTACAAGAGAAAGAAAAAGGTTAAGACATCAAGAGAAACTGCACTGAAGTACAGGGCAATGTGGAAACATGTCCAGTTTTACAGGATAAACAAAGTGAATGCAGGAGCATTTTAAAGAGCATCCCAAGAGAAAGCCTTCGATAACAAGTAGTCATATCTCAAAAGGAGCATACCAATATATAACACCCAAAGCACTAAGTGTTAAATGAAAAATAAGACTTAACTAGAGCAGCAACTTTTATCCCAGAACAATCTCCCACAGGCTTTAAAATCTTAAGTGCTGTGTCTCACATTTTTAAAAACAATCAAGTCCTTTATTTTCCCCTACTTAGATCATGTTAACCATATTACATTTATGCAAGCACAAAAACGAGCTATGTATATTAATAAGCGATTGAGCCATCATCAGTCTTGTTTGGAATATGTGAGGGAACAGTCTTTACCTGAATCACCCGGAAAGCACATTTTTTGCCTTTATAGGATCCTAACAAGGTCAAAGAGCTCCACAATTTGACAAGACCACTGCAGAAAGATCAAGAAAATACACAGTATATCACAGGCAGAAAACCAAATGAATCTCAACTAAAGGTTTCTGAAATATTCACTTCGGACTTTGCAACTATAATCATCAATGTGAAACTACAGCTGTAACCAAAGCATAAGTTTTGCTCTCTCTAGAGTACAAGTTTCTGGTGGATGAATGTTCATATTCACTCCAGTTTAAATTCCCAAAAGCTGCTCAGTTTACAATGACAATATTCTTCTCATTCTCAGAAGAAAGAATTTTTGCTCTAATTCTCCATCAGTCTCTCTGCCTTGTTATACTAGAAATGTCCCACTCTCTGTCATACCTGCTACATATTCTCAAGATGGCTGACAACGTCTTCTCCTCATAGCATAGGATGTCCAAAGGCAAGGCGGCATCAACCTGCATATGGAATAATACTATTAGCAGGCTGTTATCACCATTATTCTTGAATGCTTGTCAAGTTTTGACAAACACTGAATGTTTAGCTTTTATTCTCCACAACAGCTGTATTTAATGGTGCTGGTGCTTTGAGTTGCCTATTTGATTACAGCTTCCCCTGCCTAGAATGTTCTGCCTACACCTCTTCATATGGCTGATAATCAGTCCCTCATCCTTTAAGCCTTCATTTAAATTGTTCCTTGACTGATCTTTAAGATGAGACAGTCAGCTTGCTATGTTCTTTCTTGTACAGGACACCATACTTCCTCTTTCATAATTCTCTTCATTCTTGTCACTAATTGCCTAACATGTTTTCCTACTACAAGAACCAAGACCATCAGTCCACGCAGCAGAGGCCATGTCTGTTTGTTCGCAGCTATATAAATCCCAGGACAAAGTTTTCTAACTGACATACAGGTACACACAGGGATTTTTTAAATTTTGTATTTTAAAAAATTACAGATTCACAAGAGATCGCAAAGAAATGTACAAGGAGGTACATGCACTCTTCATCCAGCCTCCCACAATGTCAACGCCTCGCATAACTATAGTACAGTAGCAAAACTAGAAAACTGGTATTGGTAAAATCCAGAGGCTGAGATTTCACCAATTATGCATGTACTCATATTTATACCTGTGTGTGGCTATATGTAATTTTCCCACATAGGTCATAATAAAAGAATTGTACCACCATAAGACTCCCTAGTCTACCCTTTACAGCCACACCCACTCTTCTTGCCCTACTCCTCACCCCAGCAACCACTAACCTTTCTCCAGACTATATAATTATTTTATTTCAAGAGTCTTCTATAAATGGAAACACCCAGTATGTAATGTTTTGTTACATTACATATGCTTTTTTTTTTCATTTAGCATAATTCTCTGGAGATTCATCCCTGTTGTGTCTATCAATAGGTCATTCGTTTTCATTGCTGAGTATATTCCATAGCAGGAATGCACCATAGTTTATTCACCCATTAAAGGATATATGGGGTATTTTCAGTTTGTTATTAAAGCTGCTATGAATATTCATGTACAATGTACAGGCTTTTGTGTGAACCTAAGTTTTCATTCCTTTGGAATAGATGCCCAGGAGTGCCAATGCTGAGTTCTATGGCAGATGCATGTTCAATTTGCTAAAGATACTTCCAAACTATGTTCCAGAATGGCTGCACCATTTTACATACCCATTGTAATGTATGAGTGATCCAGTTTCTTCGCATTCTTGTTAGCATTTAGTGTTTTTGTTTTTGTTTTTTTTTTTTGGAGACGGAGTTTCGCTGTTGTTACCCAGACTGGAGTGCAATGGCACAATCTCGGCTTACTGCAACCTCTGCCTCCTGGGTTCAAGCAATTCTCCTGCCTCAGCCTCCCAAGTAGCTGGGACTACAGGTGCGCACCACCATGCCCAGCTAATTTTTGTATTTTTAGTAGAGACGGGGTTTCACCTTGTTGACCAGGATGGTCTTGATCTCTTGACCTCGTGATCCACCCGCCTCGGCCTCCCAAAGTGCTGGGATTATAGGCGTGAGCCACCGCTCCCGGCCTGTTGTTATTTTTTATTTCAGTCATTCTGCTAGGTACACAGCGGTATCACATTGTGTCATTAACGTGCAGTTCCCCAATGGCTAAGCATCTTTCCATGTGCTTGCCAACCATACATCCTCTCTAGTGAAATGTCTGTTAATGTTTCTGCCCATTTTCTAATTGGATTATTTGTTTTCTTACTATTGAGTTTTGATACTTCTTTATTATTATTATTTTTTGAAAGAGTCTCACTCTGTCACCCTGGCTGGAGTGCAGTGGTGCAATCTTGGCTCACTGCATCCTCCGTCTCCCAGGTTCATGCACTTCTCCTGCCTCAGCCTCCCAAGTAGCTAGGATTACAGGCGTGTGCCACCACACTCGGCTAATTTTTATAGTTTTAGTAGAGACAGAGTTTTGCTCCGTGCTACTGAAATGAACTTGGCACCCGAAAAAAGAAAAAAAAAGATGGGGTTTTGCCATGTTGTCCAGGCTGGTCTCAAACACCCAACGTTAGGTGATCCACCCACTTCGTCCTCCCAAAGTGCTGGGATTACAGGCGAGAGCCACCACACCCCGCCTATTATTATTATTATTATTATTATTTTTGAGATAGGGTATTGCTCTGTTAGCTAGGCTGCAGTGCAGTGGTGCAATCATAGTTCACCACAGCCTCAAACTCCTGGCCTCAAGCAGTCTTCCTGCCTTAGCCTCCCAAAGTGTTGGGATTACAGGCCTGAGCCACTGCACCAGGCCAAAATCATTTATATATTCTAGACACTAGTCCTTTGTTGGATATGTGGTTTACAACTATTTTCCCCCAGTCCATAATTCATCTTTTCATCCTTTTTCTCCCCCACAGTGCTGTGATCACAGCTTACTGCAACCTGGAGCTCCTGGGCTCAAGCAATCGTCCCACCCCAGCCTCCTAACTAGCTGGGACTATAGGTGCAACACCACCATGCCCAGCTCAATTTTTTAAATTTTTTGTATAGATGAGGTTTCACCAGATATCCAGGCTGGTCTGGAACTCCTGGGCTCAAGTGATCCACCCACTTGGCCTCTCAAAAAGGGGTGGGATTATAGCTGTGAGCAACCGTGCCTGCCATTTTCATCCTCCTAAGAGTCTTTTGCAAAATATAAGTTTTAAATTTTGATGAGGTACTTAGCATCTTTTGATTTGACGGACATTTGATTTGATGGACAGATGTATCAGAAAATAATTTCCTGAGCATCCTCTGTCTTCTCTCAACTTCCAACTCTACTTCTGTTCTCAAAGGAATGCTAAGACAAATCTGCTTAAAGTGTGGGCCTATGACAAAATAGGGAGTTCAATCGGAATGTAAACCAATAGTATAATTAATCACAGTGTTTAGTTCAGTTCATCTTTTCTTTTTTCATAAGGAGCCTTTTTTTTTTTAAATTTTTTGGTTTTTTTTTTTTGAGATGGAGTCTTGCTCTGATGCCCAGGCTGGAATGCAGTGGTGCCATCTCAGCTCACTGCAACCTCCACCTTCGGAGTTCAAGCAATTCTCATGCCTCAGCCTTCCAAGTAGCTGGGACTACAGGTGTGCACCACCACACCCAGCTGATTTTTATGTTTTTAGTAGAGAAGGGGGTTTCACCATGTTGGCCAGGCTGGTCTAAAACTCCTGACCTTAAGTGATTTGCCCGCCTTAGCCTCCCAAAAGAACTGAGATTACAGGCATGTGCCACAATGCCCAGACCATAAGGAGACTTTCTCATTAAAAGTGATAGTGTGCTGATTCTGCTGCAAATTCCTCATCTCTTCAAGATGGTCAGAGAGTTTGCAGGCTGCCAGTCTAGGCCACACTTTGAGTAGCACTGTGCCAGAACAAACATCTGTCTAACATGTTCCTTGTCAAACAGAAGGCATAATAGAATAAACCTATCAAAATTCATCACTTCTCAAAGTCTACTTCTACAACTTCAAACACAGTTTTAAAATAATCTCTAGGGGAACCCCCATATACTACTGGTTGGAATGTAAATTTACAACCACTATAGAGAAGAGTATGGAGGTTTCCCAAAAAACTAAAAATAGGTCAGGTGTGATGGCTCACATTTGTAATCCCAACACTTTGGGGGGACAAGGTAGGAGGTCTGCTTGAGGCCAGGAGCCTGGGTGACATACTGAGACCTCATCTCTACTAGTAAAAAAATTGGCTGGGCATGGTGGCACATGCCTGTGGTCCCAGCTATGCGGGATGTTGAGGTGGGAGAATCACTTGAGCTTGGGTGCTGAGGCTGCAGTGAGCCATGACTATGCCACTGTACTCCAGCCTAGGCATCACAGCAAGACGTCATCTCAAACACAAGAAAACAAAAAGAAAACAGAACTAAAAATAGAATACTATTTAATCCAGCAAGTCTACCATCGAGCATACATCCAAGTGAAAGGAAATTAGTATCAAAAAGACATGTGCACTCTCATATTTATTGCAGTACTATTCACAATAGCCAAAATATAGAATCAACTTAAGTGCCAATCAATGGATAAATGGATAAAGAAAATGTGGTATGTATTACAATGGAATATTATTCAGCCATAAAAAGGAATGAAATCCTGTCATTTGCAGCAACATGAATAGAACGGGAGACCATTTTGTTAGGTAAGCCATGCACAGAAAGGCATTTTCTCACTCATGTGAGAGCTAAAAAAGTAGATCTCATGAGGATAGAAAGACTGGTGATTACCAGAGGCTGGGAAGGATGGGGGTAGAGAGGATGAAGAGGAAAAAAAGAAATATAAATGTGTTTATTACAATAAATGAAAAAATTTAAAAATGCAGAGCTGTACAATTAAAAAAAATTTTTTTAATGTTTGAAAAGCATTCTTTCTGAATTTCTTACAAAGATCTTTGGCATGTTCAATCTACCAAGTGATTCCATACCTCCCCAAACAGGTCCTTCACGGCTGAAATAAGAAGCTGTTTGAACTGCGCAGCATTCAGTCCAACTCCACAATCTTGAAATTCTCTAAAAAAAAAAATATGAAAAAAAAAAGACATCATATTAAATTTCATTCTATTGGGATTCATGTTAGAAAGTAATCTAAAATAGAACTTAGGAAACTAAACTTACAGGCAGACTTTCATGTAGTGGTACTCGGAAGGGTTTTTGTAGACTACTCTTTCATATGTGGCAGCAGGGGCAGGCATCTTTTCCAGTGCTGATCACACCTACAGTAAGTCAAAAGGGCTAGAAATGACCAACGCACATTCTATTTTTCAGTTTTGATGAGAATTTGGCCTATTTGTTTTTTTTTCTTTTTGAAGCAGGGTCTTATCCTGTCACCTAGGCTGGAGTGCAGTGGTACAACCACAGTTCACTGCAGCCTCCACCTCAGGCTCTCCAGGCTCAGATGATCCCAGAGCCTCAGGCTCCTGAGTAGCGGGGACTATAGATGCATGCCACCACATCCAGAGAATTTTTCTATTTTTTGCAGAGACAGGGTTTCACTATGTCGTCCAGCCTGGTCTCAAATCCATGGGCTCAAGCAATCTGCCCACCTCAGCCTGCCAAAATGCTGGGAGTACCAGTGTGAGCCACCACACCCCACCTTCCTGTTTTGTTTTAAGATGGAGTCTCGTTCTGTCGCCCAGGCTGGAGTGCAGTGGCACGATCTTGGCTCACTGCAGCCTCTGCTTCCAAGGTTCAAGCAATTCTCCTGGCTCAGCCTCCTGAGTAGCTGGGATTACAGGCATGTGCCACAATACCCAACTGATTTTTTTGTATTTTTAGTCGACAGGATTTCACCATATTGGCCAGGCTAGTCTTGAACTCCTGACCTTGTGATCTGGCCACCTCAGCCTCCCAAAGTGCTGGGATTACAGGCATGAGCCATCGCGCCTGGCATACTGCTTGGTTTTTAAGACTTCTGATTGCAGTAACTCATCTAATTCTGGTCAAACTAAGGTTACCCATATGAATACAAGTTTTTATATTCTGTATATGCCAAATCACTGTACTCTTACTTAAAACCTAGTAACATAACTTTGGCTAACAATTTTTCTTACTGAGCACCCAGCTCTGTGCTAATAAACATTTCACATGCCTTAGCTTCTGTCTTCAAAACGCTTCTGAGGTAAGAGATATTATTATTCCCACTTTCAAGAAGAGAACACAGAGGTTTAGTAAACACAGGTAACATCTGCCCAAGGGTACCCAGAGATTCCAACCACTCCTGAGCCTGCTCAAGACCTCTGTTACGATGCCTCTTAATCCAAAGGAAAAGAAAAGGAGTAAAATCTAAGACTTGAAGGTCCTCTTCTCGTTTACTCTCCGTCAACACAGAACACAAACAGAAGAATGAGGGGTGGCTGTTCTGCCATCTCCTCCCATCCTGGGTCTGCCTGCTTTCAGTCCAAAAGCCAGGTCTGGGCAGGACCATCCATGAAAGACAGAGCATAAACAGCACAGGGCTTGAGAAGAGGAATTCCTGGAATGGGCACTCAACGCAGCTTCTAAAAGGTCTGAACTTTCAAGAAGGTACAACATACTGACCTCTTTGTAGACTGTTCCTCTCCTTGGCTCCACATCAACCTTGCTCTCCCCATGGACGGGTCCTACTCATCTTTCAACTTTTAGTTTAAATTTCACCTCTTCATGGAGGTCTTTTCTGACACCCTGCTCTAAATTAAGTCCCCATGCTATGCAATCTCTTAACACTGCCTATTTGTTTAATATATGGATCACCCACTATAGGGACCAGGAAACTGAGGCCCAGTCAAGGAAAGGGACTGATCCAAGGTCACAGAGCTACGGACCAGCATTTCCAAAACCATTCTGGGCTAGACCGAGTTCTAAGCACTCCCAGATGATGACCTCTGGAGAAAAGAAGTCAGGATCAAGGAGCTACATCTACTAATCCATTCAACAAACATGAATACTTTGGGGCCTGGAGTGGTGCTCATGCCTATAATCCCAACAGTTTATGGGGCCAGGAGTTTGAGACCAGCCTGGGAAACATAATGAGACCCTGTCTCTAAAAAATTTTTTTAAATTAGCCAGGCATGGTAGTGTGTGCCTGTAGTCCCAGCTACTCCAGGGGCTGAGGTGGGAGGACAGCTTGAGTCTGAAAGGTTAAGGCCACAGTGCACTGTGATTGTACCACTGCACTCCAGCCTGGGTGACAGAGCATGGCCCTGTCTCCAAAACAAACTAACAAACCAAAACCACTATTATACTATGATAAAAAGCAGGTATTCAAATGAGGGAAAAGTGATAGTGGTAGGCCTGTATATTCAAAAGAATCCTTGGTTTCAGGACAGCAGTAATAGTTATCTGATGCTTCTTTCCCAATCACTAGAGTGTCCCCTGAGTAGGGCAGGGAGAACAGAAACCTCATCTGTTTCTTTCATTGCTTGGCACCTAACTGTTTTTTAGTGTTACTAACTGCTTTGATGGAGCTGGCTGCCAAAGTAGGGGAGTGAAATTATGCCAGGGGCTTAGAAGCCAGTAAAATGAAGACTCATGGAGCATTCATGAGATGGATAGTGGTGACGGCTGAACAGCGTTGTGAATATACTTAATGCCACTTACGATAAATTTTGTTACATATTTTTTGCAATTAAAGTGACAGCATTGTCCTCTGGAGGCTGTTCTGAGATTAAAGGAGAGGATGCCTGGGAAACTCTTCTGCACAGACTGGTATTAAATATATTCACCAGACTCTCCATAGATGTGGGCTCACGAAGTCACTGTCATCGTCACCTTTTAAGTAGTTTTGTTTTGAGATGGAGTCTCACTCTGTCGCCGAGGATGGAATGCAGTGGTGCAATCACGGCTCACTGCAACCTCCGCCTCCCAGATTCAAACGATTCTCCTGCCTCAGCCTCCCGAGTAGCTGGGATTCCAGGTGTGTGCCACTATGCCCGGCTAATTTTTGTATTTTCAGTAGAGACGAGGTTTCACCATGTTGGCCATGTTGGTCTTGAACTCCTGACCTCGTGATCCACCCGCCTTGACCTCCCAAAGTGCTGGGATAAAGTCTGGCTTTTTGTTCGTTTGTTTTGAGGTGGAGTCTCACTCTGTCGCCCAGGCGACAGTGATGCCATCTCGGGTCACTGCAACCTCTGCTCTTGAGGTGAAGCAATTTTCATGCCTTAGCTTCCCGAGTAGCTGGGATTACAGGCGTACGTCACTATGTCCAGCTAACTTTTGTAATGGAGTTTCACCATGTTGGCTCAGGCTGGTCTCGAACTCCTGGCTTCAAGTGATCCGCTGGCCTCGGCCTTCTGAAGTGCTGGGATTACAGGCGTGAGCCACCGCACCCGGCCTAAAGTCAGTCTTTTACAGAGGCTGCAGGGATGCTGCTAAACTGATTCCCCCTACTCTCCATCTCTACGGCAGCCAGTGAGTCTATTAACATCTACTCAAACTACATCATTCCTCTGCTCAAAACCTTGCTAAGGTTCCCGTTTTGCCCAGAGTAAGGCCAAAGTCCTTAGAGCAGCCTGCATGGCACTGCCTGATCCACAGGGCTGCTCCCTCCACAGCTCTGACCTCACGCCCTGCCATTCTCCCTCCACTCAATCCCCACCACCACACAGGCCTAGCCTAGCCCTTTCTCACGCGCCAGTCTCGCTCCCGCCCCTGGGCCTCGGCTCTAGCTTTTCCCCACGCCGGGAATGCTCTTCCTCCAGAGAGCCACCTGGCTCACACCCCTGCCTCCTTTTTGGCTTAGCTCAAATCTCACTCCCTTTGGACCAGTACCCTTCTCGGCTAACACCGCACCTCATCCCCATGCCCCGTCCCTTTCTTCTTCACAGCCTTTTTCTACAACAATTACGTAACTCGTTTATCTTTATCTGTACTTCCCTCCCCCACCCCAACAGAAAGTCGACTTCCAGAATCTTGCTGTCTAGTTCACTGCTGTTGGCGCTAAAACACGGGTCGTGCACAGTGGGCGTGCAACGTACAGTTTTTGGACTAAATTAATTAATCACTTTAAAAACCTCAATTTCCCTACTGTTGAGCACTTGGGCGGCTTTCAGTTTTTTTCAACCACCACCACTCAGCTCTCACCTCGCGCTGGGAGCATGAAGCGCGCACAGGACACGGTTTCGAGGTCCCGCCCGGGCCTAGCAGCCACCCTCTGCGGTCGAGACCCTACGCGGCGCTGTATGGAGGCCTCCGACACCCGGGCCTGAAGCGGACCAGCAGCCAAGGCCGCGCTGCCCGCCCCGCGCATGCGCTGCCTGCGGGGCCGACAGAGACGGCGCCCGTACAACAACCGCTCTCTGGAGGGCTTCTACCTACCCAGTGTCCGTCGGACTAGCCTGACGCCTGCCCAGTCTCCTATTCCCCGTAAGCACCCGCCAAGGCTTGGGGCTCACCGGCAGCAGAAAGAGCTGGGCCTGGGAAACTCATGGTGACTTTACGTTTGGCTCTCCTCGCCCCGCCCCGCCGTGCGTGACGCCCCGGCGGATATGACGACACCGCGCGGCGTCTTTCTAAGGACTCAGGCGCGAATCCTGATCCGGAGCTGAGAGGGGCCGAGCTCGGCGCCCTCTGGTGTCCACTCCGGGAAAGCGGTGTATGCAATTTGCTTAGGGTGCTGTTTAGGGCGTGTTTATTCTGCCCTGGACTGTGCTTCATAGTCATCCATTTCTTCATGCATTCATTCATTCATTGAACAATTGTTTTGTTGGCTTTTTGAGACAGTTTCACTCTGTCGCCCAAGCTGGAGTGCACTGGAGCGGAGTAGCTGGGACTACAAATTATGGGCCACCATGCCCAGCTAACTTCTGTATTTTTAGTAGAGACGGGGTTTCACCATGTTGGCTAGGCTGGTCTCGAACTCCTGGCCTCAAGTGATCTGCCCGCCTCGCCCACCCAAAGTGTTGGGATTACAGACGTGACCAACTGCGCCCGACTCATTCTACAAATTTATTTTTTAAATTATATTATATTATAATGTATTTATTGAGACGGAGTCTCACTCTGTCGCCCAGGCTGGAGTGTAGTGGCGTGATCTTGGCTCACTGCAACCTCTGCCTCCCAGGTTCAAGTGATTCTCCTGCCTCAGCCTCCCGAGTAGTTGGGATTATAGCGTCCACCACCACCCCGGCTAATTTTTGTATTTTTAGTGGAGATGGGGTTTCACCATGTTGGCCAAGCTGATCTTGAACTCCTGACCTCAGGCAATCTGCCCACCTCGGCCTCCCAAAGTGCTGGGATTACAGGCTTGAGCCACTATGCTCCACCTGCAAATTTGTATCTAGCATCTCCTTTTCTCAATATCTCCTATGTCAAGCACTCCCCAAAGACAGGACCCGCTCTCATTGTCCCTTGTGACTCCCAGCACATAGTAGGTGTCCTATCTAGGTCGACCTGAAAAGACTTACTTTGTACCAGGCACTGAGCAAAGTATTTTACACATATTATCTCATGTAACCCTCACACAATCCTGAGATGGCTATTACTATGATCATCGCCATTTTAGAGGTGGAAACTGAGGCACAGGCTAGGCGCTGTGACTCATGCCTATAATTCCAGCCCTTTGGGAGGCCAAGGTAGGCAAATCACTTGAGGCCAGGAGTTCAAGACCAGCCTGGCCAACATGGTGAAACCTGGTCTCTACTAAAAATACAAAAATTAGCCAGGTGTGGTGGCGCACACCTGTAGTTCCAGCTACTTGGGAGGCTGAAGCAGGAGAATTGCTTGAACCCGGGAGGCAGAGGTTGCAGTGAGCCGAGATCATAACACTGCACTCCAGCCTGCGCAACAGAATGAGACTCTGCCTAAAACAAAAAAGAAACCAAAGCACAGAGAGGCAAAGTTATTTGCTCAAGATCACAGTTATAAGCGGTGGTATGGGCTGTCTGATTCTAGCCAGTGCTCTCCACACTGCACTGTATTATCACCAATTTAGGAGCTGCAGTGGGAAGGGAATCTTTAGTGTAAGCCCCATAAGGATGTGGCCTTGTCTGTGTTGCTCACCACTGCACCCCAGTTCCTGGCACCTAGTGGTGACCCAACATCTGTTTATTGAACACATTCGTTCATAAATGGATGTGCTGGTTCTGCCTGGGTTGGTGGGCAAAGGGTTGCCTTGCACAGGACAGTTAAGTCAGCAGAGATCTCCTTCCTCAATTCTTTTCTCAAAATCCCACTGTGGGCCGGGCGCGGTGGCTCACACCTATAATCCCAGCACTTTGGGAGGCCGAGGCGGGTGGATCACAAGGTCAAGAGATCGAGACCATCCTGGTCAACAAGGCGAAACCTCGTCTCTACTAAAAGTACAAAAAAAATTAGCTGGGCATGATGGTGCGTGCCTGTA